AAAAATAATTTTATCAGGCTAGAGGTATAAATGTAACAAAAACAAACAAAAAAACCCCAAACCAAAACACAAAAAACCTGAAAAAACTGTAGTTAAATTTAAACTGACATGACCATCACTTATTAATGTTTTTGTGCTACTTTTGTATTTACTTTTTCATATTTGTTTTAAATTAAATATTTGACTCCCACGGTGAATATCATAAAATTATCTGTAGGTATACTGGTAAGTGTATCACAATCAAGGCAGATTCTTCTGCATAAGAAACACAGTAATTCTGCTGTTAGGTCACAAAGTTTATGGTACTACTGTCTGCAGTGGTCACTTCTGGCATTAAATCTGTGACAGCTTCTGTCAAATTCTCAACTATAATCATTCTTCATTATTTTCTGCTGTAATAGTACTACTAGCAATTACTGGCTTTCATCCAGCTGTCTCAGTACCCTACTAAGGGTGGGTCAAACTCCTTGGTTCCATTGTGCAGAACATCAGCAGGCTAAGTAATTAACAAAGTTGCCATCAAAGATCTTAAAGATAACATGAGAAAGTGGGAAACTAACTTACACATTGTTTAAATATATTCCTTTAAGTATGACCACAAGCAACAAGATGAGCGTTTGAAGTTCTATGGAAGCTAGAATGTTAAAGGCTCACCTACGGACCACAGGAGATTTCAGGTATTACACAACTTTTCTCAATGCTATTAACAGTATAAAGCTTCAGTCATACATCTGGATCTTGGCATAGACAGTTCACATTACAGTAACTGCTTTAATTCTCTAAGTTAATGAACTCTTAAGAAGCTCAATTTCAGCTGTATTCTAGAGTGGATTTAGTCAAGTAAATGGAAGCTGTAGAGATAAGACCATGCCTATCCCTTTTAAGAACAAACCAAAGAACATAAAATGTGTTTTTGAATTTCTGCTCTCCATAAAACTTCAGTCTGACCTCTTTACAGTAAGGAGCAAAGAGAAAGCAAACAAGCTCATTGTGGTCACTGTAGATATACAACTTAAAAGGTTCTATACTTGCCTCAATTACACAGATTTGTGGCTCTTTTTTGTCATCATCCACAGGAACTTTTGCCTGATTCATTACCCATTCCTGAACTGCATCAGTAATGTGTGGAACAACTAGAAAACAAAACCAAAGAAGGCAAGCACAGCTTACTTTAGGTCCATGTACTAATTTTTGCATGCAAAAGGGGTAAAGTGAACAGAAAGCCAAGAAGAAACTACCAGGTCTTTTCTCTAGTTCTCCTTTCCTTGAGCCCAGAAGCCAAACATTTCAGGAATATGCCCATGTCTTTTGGAAGGGAGAAAGGAGTAAGGTGGTGGAGCAAGAAGCAGCGTGTTCTAGCTGATCCCTTCTTTTGTGAAGACTGAATGGACTACTATCCCACAAAATTAAAATTATTACCTTGAACGGTTTTTCCCAGATAATCACCATGTCTTTCTTTATTAATGACATGCTGATATATCTTTCCAGTGGTAATATTGTTATCTTTATAGAGACTGATGTCCAAAAATCTCTCATAATTTCCCAAATCTAAGTCAACTTCTCCACCATCATTTAATACAAAAACTTCACCTGAAAAAAGAAAGCGAAAACAGACAGAAAAACAATAAAACAATCAGAAATTATTAAACACACGGCAAGAACACCACAGACATCTTAAAATAGAAGAAAAATATTTTAAATTCTATATGACAACAAGGTATCAATAAAGCCCATACCGCAACCCAACCTGCACTGTCAGTCTGTATGACTTAATATCCAAGTCAGTTTTACATCCCTGAGACACATAGTTTTGCAAATAAAATGTAAGTTACATTGACAAAATATTTAAGCAACATAAATATATAACCAGCATTTCAACCGCAGAATAATCCTTCACTGGAAGAAAACAACCTCTAGGAATCATAAATCAGCAGCAAATAAAATATTAATTTACTTGCAGGAGAGAAAAACTACGCTTCTATAACCATGAATGATTATACATATTCAAAGTGTTTCATTATAAATTCTTGTGGACTGGATCTATTTTAAAGATTGAGACTTCGATCAGGAGTAATGTTACGATGAAGAAAAATGCTTCTTCAAACGTGACCCAGCGTCTTTGGTTCGCCATGTCCACAGCAAGGGTTATTTCTGACCCAGAAAAATCCACTTAAAATACCCTTCAGGTTCACACTTTTCTCAGTCCTCTAAAGAGTCTTTAAATTCTGAATCTAGTCAACTTCTGACAGAACTCAAGTTACTAGATCTTGAGATAAGGCTGGAATGCTCTTCAGAAAAACTGTAAATATTTTGCCATGGCCCAATAAACCAATGGCAAAACAAGTTACATGACTAATGCAAAAAAAAAAATGTGGACTACAGAAATGTATATTCCACCAAAGTTCAACACTCCACTTCAATGAACTTAGGTTCTCAAAGCTTCACTAATGTTTTTGACTAATGTCTAATGATTTTTTTTCACTAAAACAACAGCTTAAGCTAACTCTCATAAAGGCACTTACATCAGAAGGCACTGATACCCAGAGAACAGCATTCTCAAGTAACTCTGAAGGATTTAAAGTCACAAGTAAGTTTCATAGCACTATTTAAAAGGGGTTTTTAATCAAGTTGAACTGCAGATAGCATTAATTAAACAATTCTTACAGCTAGGAAATTTTCCCAGTAAAGTGGTATTTTAGAGAAAGGAAGCATCTGCTCATAACAGTATCTTCAAAAACACAGGCTTCTGTTTCTTAACTTAGAGCAGTTAGTGTCCTTGAGAACACAGAGTAAGCAATAAACTTTCAAAATAACGATAAAACAACTTGTAAACACCATACTATTGTTTTTTAAAAAATAAAACCAGAACACGTCATTGTAAATACAAATGTTTATGTGAAAGAGAATAGCATTTATCTTCATACCATGTTCATATGGTGAAAAGGTTCCAGCATCTATGTTTATGTAAGGATCAATTTTGATTGCAGTGACACGTAGACCACATGATTTCAGAATGGTGCCAATGCTGCTTGCAATGATCCCTTTGCCAATGCCTGAGATGACACCACCAGTTACCAGGATGTACTTCATTGGAAAATCAGCACACATGCACAGACCTTGAGCTGGAAATCTAAAACAACAAAGATGTACATCTGATGAACGTACATTCATGTCTAGGAAGATCACAGACTCAATCTGCAAAGATCTAAACTGAAATGACCTTCAGCAACATAGAATAAAAATGACCATTCTGGAATCTGGAAGCAGGATTCACCTCTCCCAGGTTATACACCAATATGTAAGATAAACACCTGTCTTGTCCCTATCCTAGGTCCTTATGAGGCTGATTGACACACAGAGCCAAAGTATGAATTTACATTTCTAGACAGAAAGGGGTGCTGGGTGGCAAATCCACAAAGGTACTACAAAACTTTTTACTATTTATACATTTTAGCAAACAAAGGCACCAGTGCTGATCAGCACCAAGCTGCTTTTTTCCACCCATCTGAGACAGCATGACATGTATCTCATCTGTAAATGAATTCACATTCCATTGAGGCAGCTGTGGAGGCTAATTACTGAACTATTTCTGAACAGTGACAGCACACCTCACCATAAAGCAAGAACTCTTAGGGCCAAGAAAATCACCCAACTCATCCAAAACAACATGCAACAGCACTTGATCTAATGGCCCTCTGTATAACTCAAAGAAGTGTGGTAGTTCAGCCGCTGGTATGAAGCAGTAGATACACAATGAACATTTTAATTCTTCTTTTTATGATACTAAACTAACATAAGGCCTGGATCTTCAGGAGACTGAGTTCAGGAATGTAGCAAGGCATGTTATCAATGCTCTTACGTTTCTGGCAATAGGAATTAATAAACTATTTGCTTGTCAATGATTGAAAAGATGACCATAACCATTAACACATTTAACTCAAAAGAAAAATGAACACCAAGGATTAACTTTTCCCTGCCATTTAATTTTAACATGTAATTTTTTTAATAATGATTTTAAGACTTGGACCCTACTACCTCTGTTTCAGGCTATTCCTTCAGAACTCAGCCAGCTTAGCTGTCAACATCATAAACATCTAAGCCATGTTCAAAGCTCTTTTCAGGAAAACGGGGGATAATTTCAACAACGGTATAAATCTTGAGTACATGCCACTTTAGAACTCTTAAATCTTGCTTACAGAGAGCAAAATGAAGTTTGCTGTGATTTTAGCAAAGCTTCAGGAAACGCGTTTACTTGAAATGGGTACAGAGAACTGCAGGCGGTCTGGGAAGTCACTTGTAAAAGATGAAGGAACTAGAGTTAGGGGAGGGAGCGCTGAAAGCGAATACTGAAGAAAACATTTTGCTGGGAAGTGGCACACGAATTACTCTGTCCAGCCTTATCTACAGGAGCTGCCGCCTGCAGCAGGGATTTGTGGGCGCTGCACCCCAGCCGTGCCGTGCCGAGCCGAGCCGAGCCGTGCCGTGCCGAGCCGAGCCGAGCCGAGCCGAGCCGAGCCGAGCCGAGCCGTGCCGCGGGAGCGCTCGGGGCGCTGCGCCCAAGCAGGGAGAGGCCTCTGACTTACGGAGGAGTTAAAGGCGGCTGCTCCGACCAGAGCCCGGCAGCGCAGACCAGGAGAGCCCGCCGCGGGAGAGCCGAGCCCGAGCGCAGGGCCGGCGGGCGGGGGCGGCACCTGCCCGGGACGGGGGGCACGGCCCCTGCAGGTGCCGCGCCTCCGAGCGCAGCCCCGGCAACGGGGACGGACACACGCGCGGCGGTCGGGCAGCAGGGACAGCCCCGATGGGGACACCCCCGCTGGGGACACACCGGCCGGGCCCTGCCCCGCTGGGGACACCCCCGGTGCGACAGGTGCCGAGAGCCCCGCGCCGCCCGGGCCGCCCCTTCCTCCCGGCGGAAGTGGCGCACGCGGAAGCGGCGCGCAGCGGCCGCCCGCCGTCCCGCAGCCCCGCCGGCAGGGCCCGAGCGCCGCCGCCCCTGAGCCATGTTGCGCGGCCTGGGCAGCTGGCTGGGGCTGGAGCGGGCGGGCGAGGAGCAGCTGCTGCCCGCCCGCAAGAGGAGCGGCCCCGCGGAGCAGGAGCAGGAGCGTGAGGAGGAGGAGGAGGCAGGGCCGGCCGGGCAGGAGCAGGGCGAGGTGGACTCGGAGGCGCTGCTCAGCCAGGCCAAGGGATTCGGCAGTGAGTGTGTCGGGGCTGCCGGCTTTCAAATATGAGCTAAGGAAACAAGGCTGTAAAGTGCCTTTCGATTATCGGCTCTTTCAGAGCTGTTTTTTAAAGGAGCAGCTTTTAAGTATCTGCTCTGTTGGCACTATGGGAGGAGGTCTGTGTGTAGACGAAATAGATCCGGCTACGTGGATTGCACCGTGGGCGTTTGTGGGTTTTTTCATAGGAAAATCATGGGGTTTTATGATTTTGTTGAGCGTGTCTTCAGTCTTAGAATCACAGAATGGTTTGGGGTGGAAAGGACCTTGAAGGTAATCTCATTCCAACCCCCCTGCCATGGGCAGGGACACCTTTTGTTAGATCAGGCTTAAAGCCCCATCCAGCCTGGCCTTGAACGCTGCCAGGGATGGGGAAAGCTGTAATTTGCTAAAAGTAAAATTCCTTCTTTAGTGTAGTGAATTCTTGGATAAAATTAATCCATAGTATAGACCTATACTCATTACTAAGGGGTTTTTAAAGGAATAGGTTTTGGGTTTTTTAATATTGATGCTCTGAAATTCTGGATCAGTATCATCTGAGAGGTTAATCTGAGCTGGTTCTTTACGGCGCATTATCTTGGGCAACCAGAACTGCAGCAGTTTAGTCTGTGTAGTTTGGTTGAATGTCTGTCTAGTTGTGGTAAATTGATACTGACCTGCTGCTGACTCTGATTGTTTTAATCTGCAAATTGCTCTGATTGCTCAGGAAGGAAAAAGGAATTTGAGTTTTAGGGGAAGAATAAGTATTGGCTATTATCTGTATAAAGATCCATCCATAACTTGCTCTGTAAATGAAAATTTGGTTTAGTGGTCAATGGGTCCATTGTCTGTGACACCAGAATAGATTGTGGTGGAAAGGCTTTCTTGCCGTTTTAACACATAATCCTAGAAACCTCTGCATGGCCAGCAACCTGAGTAGCTGTGTAAAAAGAATGTCCTGGCAGATAAAGAATTTTACTGGTAAAACCGAAGCCTTATAGACATTATTTTTGTTCATTATCATGCCATTACAGAAATTATGAGTGCTTTTCCAACGTGAACTGATAATAGAAGTATTGCTAGATACATATTCTTAATACAGCCATACACTTGTAAGATGGAAGATGGGTTTCTTGGTCATTTGAAAGTGTTGTTTTCCACCACAAATTCTATTTTTCTAAGGCTAAGTACCACCCCTTCTGCAGTTTTATAAGTACGTTAGTTCAAAAGAATATTTGCCCTTATTGGAAGTAAAAAGCATTTTGCTCTTCAGCATGGTTCTAGGACTGGCCAAAACCACTTTGTGCAATAAGGCCAGCATGTCACCAGACACCAAATGCCTCTGCACATTTTGCACCTAAAACAATTGCATATAGGAGAGGTTCCAGGGATACATGAAACAACCAATAAAAGCTGGTAGGAAGCAGTCCAGTAGGTGGCTGCTTCCTCTACTCTCATAAGGGGAATATTGTATGTGTCTATGTCTAAAATGTAGAACATACCCTTTTTTTTATGCCTGAATCATGGGATGGGTTATAAAGCCTGATAGCAGGTATAAAAGATGCTAGTAAGTACTTGAAGGATGCTTGGTTACCACCATTCTGTGCCTAGTAAGCAAAAGTTACATATAAAAAATTGTCTTAAGGCTTGGCTAGACCTCTGCATATTTTGGTATTGATTTGGTGATAGCATTACAAGAGAACATTTTATCCACCACAGAGAATAGTCAGCTTTCCAAAAGGTGACGTCAGTGTTCCAAAGTAACTCATTCTACCATTGGCTAACAACTGTGTATTAAATGAACTTTTTTTTTTTTATTATTATAAGATTATTTTTTACATTTCTAGCCCATAGGAAAACTGGATTTTTTGAGAGTTCTTGAGAAGGAGGGTGGTCTTTTGTTTGAAACAGAAGAGCTGGGTTTTGGTGGGGTTTGTTTGGTTTGGGGATTTTCTTTTTGTTGTTTGGTTGACTTATTTGACAACCCCCTGAAAAAGTCAAAGTTGATTTTCTGGAATAACTGAAATATGTGACTTCTGTTGAGCTGACTGCCAAGCAGCACCCCCAGATCCTTTTCTGCAGGGCTGCTCTCTAGACACTCCTCTCTCAATTTATATTCATCCCAGCATTTATTCTTGTTAAATTTCATGCCACTGATATTTGCCCAGATGTTCCAATCTATCTAGATCCCTCTGCAAGTGTTTTATTTACTGTGGCACTGACACAATGTGTGTACTGGAGCTGAGGTACTGCAGTCGGAATGCAGCCATTCCGATACAAATAAGTGCTTGTGACATCCTGCTATCTGAGAAATAGTACCAGTGTCTTAAAATCACTTGTCTATAAGCTGGTACTTGATGTTTCTGAGAGTTTATGATATACATCTTGCTTCTTGCAAGTTTGTTCTCCTTAATTAAAATAGAATAATACAGTGCAGATGGCCATGCTATGTGTATGTAGTTCTTTCCCTGCCACCTCACTTTGCTTCAGCACTGCTAATACAAAGAATGTGAGTCTTTGAGAATAGTCTTCATTGCTGTTCTGACACTGAATATTTTCAGAAAATATGGCTCAGAAAAATGAGTGAACAGGGCCAGAGTGCTTTTCTCTTCCTAAAGAGAGGAAGACAATGCAAAACAGATTAGCAAGAACAAGCTTCTATGCTAAGACTTTTAAGGGAGGTTTTAGCTGCCTGAAATTTTTCATGGATTTGCTGCCTCAGGTTATAAGACTTAATAAAGTCTTAAGTGCATGTTGATTTTCCTAAAAATATATAATTCTATTTTAATACTGTGGTTAAGTCACTTTATGGCTTATTGTCTCCGAAATACTTCTGTGAAATCAGGAAAGACGCATTGCTTCAGAAAACTCATTGGAAAGGAGTATTTTAAGGACCATTAGCAATGTTTGATTTAGTAAACAAGGTTTGTGTATAAATATTTGATTTACAGAAAGTTGTGATAATCATCATCATTAAAGCATATAAACTAGAAAAGATAAATAGAATTTTAGGAGTTTTTTGTAGGCTAGAAGCTGGGTTAAGTTATTTTGAAAGAAACTTTCAATAAGTATCCAAACATCTAAAGAGAAGATAAAATAAATGTAGAAAGAGAACTGGATGTAAAGAAATCTATTCTCAGGTCTTTGTTTTTTTTGTCTGTGAAAGGTTACCTCTTCAATTTTGCCTCTGCTGCTACAAAAAAGATATCTGAGTCTGTTGCTGAAACAGCACAGACCATAAAGAAGTCTGTAGAAGAAGGAAAAATTGACAGTATCATCGATAAGGTAATTTATTTCTAGACACTTACTCTGAAAGATGTGTTTGCTTACCATTGTTACAACATGTGGCAAATCTGGCATTTGATAACATTTCTTTAAACTGTCTTTAGATATTATGTCTTTCAAGAGATACTGTGCATCTCTTGTCATGATGAATGATGTGACTGAAACATTTATACATGATAGAGTTTCCAAAAAATGGTCACCCTGCATTTCTCAGTGCTGCACCCGTGTTTGTTCAGTTCCCTCAGGATGTTGATAGACTGGAGAAATACCAGAAGAAAATATGAAAAATGCTGATGTAGGTGGAAGGGCTGGAAGAATTTGAGACAAGCAGTTGGGGAATGTCTGTCCCAAGATGTCTGGACTGGTTTCTTTTTGCCCCACAGCTTATTTAGTTGGAAAAAGGAATGAGGTAGCTTGCATCTTAAAGGCAGAAGTCAAAATTAGCTTGGCATTGTACATACTGTATCCTAGGACCCTAGAGGTATACAGGTACAGCTCCACAAGAGCCAGTGAGCTAATGAAACACCTTGTTAGTGTCCTGATGTTTTCCCACCCTGACCCTGCCCCATAGATCTTGCCCTCTCTGTTCCTGTCTGTCAGCTCCAGTTGCTTAACTTGTGCCAGCAAGTGTTCTCCCAGTGCTTTAAGCCACAAACCTGGCAGAAGGAAAAGAAAAAAAGAAAAAGGCAGCAATAACTGCCAGGAAGTGTTTTGTGTTTGCTGTTGTGTCTGGGAAGGGAAGGGAAAGGGAACAGGAACTGGTTCCAGTGCTTTAAGCTACAAACCTGGCAGAAGGAAAATAAAAAGGCAGCAATAAGTGCCATGAAGTGTTCTGTGTTTGCTGTTGTGTCTGGGAAGGGAAAGGGAACAGGAACTGATCAAAACCATCCCAGCAGCTGTAGGACTGTGCATCCAGGAGTGTCTGACACAGGCAAACCCCTTTTCCTGCTCCTGTCTCTCAGACAGCCCTTCTGGGGAACTACAGTATTGCCTGTTTATTTTTTTAATACAACAGAGTTCTATTTCTTGATATAATTAGTTTTCAGGGTGATCACATTTTACATTTTGTCTTCAGATTTTATAGATACTTGTCTTTATAATAATAGTAGAGATCTATTTCATTCTACAGTAATATCAGAGTCTGTTGTAATTTTGATCTTCATCAAAGGGGAAAAATCAAGTAACAAGGTTATTTGTTAATTTAATACACTAATAATAATGCTCCTAAGTAATTGTAGCTAAGTACCTACAGCATATTTTATGCCAAAAATACAATTTTCTTTTTTCTGTAAATGTTTTAGAGTAATATGAATTCCCTGTTTCGATTAATCAGTATTATATACAGGAGAAACAAGATTATACCTGTACCATCATAAAGCTTTCTTCTTATATCATATAAATTGTTTTATTCCATAAGTAGAAAAAAATTGACTTAATTTTAAACCAGAAGGAACCACAATAATCTGTTTGTATAACTGACACTACTATAGTTCTCTCACTGATAGTAATCTTAAACTGAAATACTGGGTCACTGAAGGAAAAAAAAAAGTAAGGGATTGATCAGGATTTAGCTTGAAGACTTCTGTGCATTTTGGCAACTTGTTAATCCATAGACCTCACGCATAAAAGTTGTGGTTTTGTGAGTGGTTTAAGTATTTATTTCTAGCTTCATCTTTTTTGTCTCTGCTTTCAACTACAGAACATTTGCATTCTTAGTTCTAGATTATGGCATACCAAATTCTGAGACCATTCTCCATTTTTTAAATTCTAAATTAGATATAGAATATTTCTAAATATGTTTTTTTTAATGAAAATTTGTCAACAACATAAGTGGAGAAGTTATTTTGTTTCAGCTAAGCAGGTGTTCTGAAATGCAACTTGAAAATTTTGAAAGTCCAGTTTCTTGCCATGGATATATTTCTTAGGTGACTCTTGAAACTTCTGTAAGGCCAAGGCTATCTCTAAGTGTTAGTGCTTTAAAACATGTTTAAGTAAGTCTAAACAGTCTGCGTTGGCTGTTTTATACAGTGAGACAGTAAATGGATATGCTCATGTTCAAATGATCAGCTAAGATTTTCCTTCTTTTTTTCCTTGTTCTCTGAACTTGATAAAACTATAAATATAATTTTGAAAGCATACACAATAGTTTTAAATGGAAAATCAAATGTTTCAGTAAAAGGAAGTGTATGATTGACATGAGACACCTTTAACTAACAGGAAGGGCCATCACGGATATAAGAATATGCACTGTATTTGAAAGCACTTTCTGACTGAACATAAAACAAGAAGAGTGAATTTTAATTTTTTTTTTAATTATAGTTCTCTAATTTTTGTTTTAGACAATTATTGGAGATTTTCAGAAGGAACAGAAGAAATTTGTCCAGGAGCAGCAAACCAAAAAATCAGGTAATGTATGCTTTTTTTGATGATATCTAACATCACATAAGTGAAAAATTGCTGAAAGCTGGATAATTGAGCTATATCTAAAACTAATCTTTGAAATGAAAACACAATAAAATACATTATAACAGAACTTAATGCATGTGATGGAATAGGAAGATTATATTTTTAAGTCAGGTTAGTGTTACATTGTGTAGGTGATTTAGATTTGCTTTTTAACCAAATTCTGCTTTGTGAAATAAACTCAAAGATCACCATGCTAGCAAAGTTGTTCTCTCACATTGTTTTTCATCATTGACTTTTATCTTTATTAATGTGTTACCTGAATGCAATAATTTCTGACAGTTTGAGTATGCAGTGACTCTGTTAATCTTTAAAATGAGCTGGTTTTAAATGGATTGTGATAAAAATTTTCATGATGTTTTTAGTTAGTATGTTAGTCTGGTTTCTTCTTGCAAGATTGTTTGTGGGATTGTGTTGTCTGTATTTCTGTCTTTTTGTCTGTTAGTAAACTTGGTATTTTCCTAATACATTTCTAAAAGCTTCATGAAAATAGGTAGCTAGATTGGCCAAAGGAGGAGTGACAGATGGCCTGACTGAAAGAAGCATCAGCATCTGATGTGGATCCATGTGGGTGAAAGATCTTGCTGGTATCAGCTGCACAGGCAAATAAGTGTTAATAGTTTAAGGGCACAAGAATTTTTAATCTGCTACAGATGCATCAAATTGTCTCTGTGGGCTGATTTGCATTGACAGTGAAGAGATTGATAAATATCTGTACGTCTACAATAGTTTATTTTCCTCTCTGTACAGCCCAAATAATTATTTGAAAGCATCTGCGTAACTGTATAAAGCAGCTGAACTGGAGTAGGCATACTCAGTGTATAACAGGTTGTAATTCATAACAAATTTATAACATTTTTCTCCATTGTTAAAGAATTTGTGTCTTCTGGGTCTAAGTTACTTTGCCAACTTAATTTAGACAAAGTTTACACATTTTAAGTGGATCTGGAAATCCTGTCTGCAGGCAACTTAACCAGTTATACAGCACTACTTCAGTAGCTAAACTAAGAGGCATGAAATTCTGACTGGTGCATGCTGCAAAGAAATCCTCACAGATTTATTTTTACAATTACAGAGTTCAGCAACTATTTAGTTGTTGTTTTGTTTTATTTTTTTTACTTTTGATAAGCAAAGATCTATTCCTAGGGTTTCTTTCTTATGCCATGGACTTAGTTTAGGAAAAAGACACAATGACTTGGCCTACTGGTGTAACTCTGCTTAATTTTGTGACACTGTTACCTTATGTAAGGTCTGTTATTTGGAGTGGGTTTTTTTCAAGTAATATACATGCAATTAACTTCCTCCTTTCAACACCAGAAGCAGCAGTGCCTCCCTGGGTAGACAGCAATGAAGAAGAGACAATTCAACAACAAATACTGGCTTTATCAGCAGTAAGTATTTAATTTCCTGTAAGATTTGAATTTTTCTCGTGGAGAAATTTAAACTACTGTTTTTTTTAAGTAAGTTTATTAAATTATGTGTTTTCAAGACACTTTCAATATGTCTGTCACCACACCAATCATGTGCGAGAGTAAATAGCTCTATCAGTTTCAACTTGAACCCAAGCAGTTTCTCAATATAGTTGTTATTTTTATAAAGGCATTACAGATTGCTTTGCTGCTCTTGTGTGTGAAATATGGTGTCCTTTTTCTGATATCATTTAATGGCCATAAATATGTTCTTCAAAGGATAAACGGAATTTTCTGCGGGATCCTCCAGCAGGTGTGCAGTTTCATTTTGACTTTGATCAAATGTACCCTGTTGCACTGGTCATGTTACAAGAAGATGAGCTTCTCAACAGGATGAGATTTGACCTTGTTCCCAAACAGTAAGTAATTTCTTCTGGTAACTGTACCATCATGCTTTTAATATGTCTGTAAATACTCATAAATTACTCTTTGTTCCTTTCACTTCCTTCAGTTCTTTATGTTCTTCCAATGTGTACATATATTTTTATGCTAGTGTGTAACACATGCAGTATTGCATATGCATTGCAGTTTAGTAACTTGAGGTAAGAAAAAAGTGTATCTGTGAGACAGAACAATAAGGAACTGTTGACTTAAGAAGCATGGGAGATGTCCTCATTATTACCATGTCCAGTGTGCTAAATTTTATGATTTTTTTTTTTTCTCGAAAGAAAGGTAAAGGCAACAATCAAAATGTTCAGATCTGTTGGTGTAACTGACATCCCAAAAAGGTGATTACAGATAGTCAGAGACCACCCCTGGAGAAATAGTAATAGAATGTTGTCACAAAAAAGCAGCAATGCAAGCAAGAAAAACTGGATTTGGATAGGAAATGGAAAAAGTTCTATTTTGCAGAGCTTTATTCTAGAGCTGTTATTCCTTGTCCAGTCCCAGACTCTGTTCCTAATGCTTATTTCACAACTCAGCTTTTTATTTAAGTGGGAGTTCCCAACATTAGTCTCCTTGTCTAAGGATGGAAACAGAAAGAAAAATCTTTCCTTGACGTTTTCTGTCTTAAATCTCCTCCGTTTATAAACCTTCCCAGCTCCTCTTTCTGTTTACCTTCTTCTCTGTTGTCATTTCTGAGGATCTGCCCATAATCTCTGATGCTGTCTTCAGCCTCTGGTCATGCTATCCTTGATTTTTCTACCACATTGCTTAATATTTTTTTCACCTGTTTTTAGTCTTGGTCGCTGTTTGCCTGAATAGGTGTGAGGGTAACTTCATTCTTTCTCAGCCTACACAAGTTCCTCCCCACAGATCTTGCCATTTCTGCCTTCTGTTGCCTGTGGGTTAAAGCAGGGTCTTGTCTTTCTTGCTGGAGGAATTTCAGAAGGAAATGTTACCTGAGGTAGGGGATAGTCTGCCACTTACCAGAGTTAGTCATGTCCAAGGTGGCAGTTTCTGGTTACTGTAGGTTCTGTGGATGTGCTTAGAGATGTGCAAATAGTGAAATAGTACTGCTGCAATCTAGGATTGGCTTCTGCCACCACAGATGTTCCAGTTCCACCTGTCTAGGGAAGATGTAGACAATTATAGTTTGACAATAATAGAGTGCTTGGCTTTCAGGGGAAGAGAACGGGGTTGTTTGGCTTGTTTGGTTTGTTTACATAATTTGTCAGGAGAGATGGAACAGGATAATATTTTTCCATACCATGTATTATTGTGTGTTTTTAAGCTTTTTCTAGACTTTTATAACATTACTATTGTTCAAGTCAATTGCAAATGTCTTGTAAGAGATCAGGAACTTCTAAAATGATGAACTTTTTAAAATGTGTTAATGTCACAAATTTTTTTTTTAACATTTTACTTAAATATCATCTATGTCTATTTCTCCTGTCTGCATATTTAATTTTATTTCACTGCTAGATGGTGAAAGGAACCATATTCCAAATGTAATAATCAAAACCTGTTTGTTCTCTCTAGTGTAAAGGAGGAGGTGTTCTGGAGAAATTATTTCTACAGGGTGTCCCTAATTAAACAGTCTGCACAACTCACAGCCCTTGCAGCTCAACAGCAAGCAGCAGGAAAGGAGGAGGGCAAAGGCAAAGAAGAGGATAGTGAACTGAAAGGTATGGGAAACATTTGTTTTAGCACAGTTCATTCAGTTACTGTAACACTGTTGTCTAAAATCGGAAGAAAATATTTTCAAATATTAAAATTGATAACATAAAAAGCAGTCTTTTAATGAAAGCTTTCAGTTGCACATATAGTACCTATATGCATGTGCAGCATCAAATTTTCACAATTTTTATAAGTCTAATTAATTAGCATGTCTAGCAAGTACATCCAGTGGGAGAACAGTTACCCTGTAACCCACCCTTGGATCTGCTCCACAGGAGCCCCTCCAAGGATTCTTAGCCCTATATGGTGTTATATCTACAACTATTTTATTAGTTCAGCCCAGGTGCTAGTGCAAAACAGGATGTCCTTGTTAGAAACTCTTTTTCTTGACCAAACAGAATTTCAAGAATGTGGCATAATATGTGAGAAAGGGTAACTACTGTTCTAAAGTGTGAGAAAGTGCTAGAAACTATACAGCTGTTTATTAAAAATGTTCAAAGCTACAAATATATTTAAAAATGCTAAAAATCTTTAGGCATCAGCAAATGTTCACTGTATACATCAGGTGCCATCACATTTTTATCCTGGATTGCCTGTTAAATCAATGCTTCTCTCACCATACTTGGTGTCTTTGTGTAGGCTGGGGAAGAGGAGGCTCCTGGTGCTTTTAAGCTGTTTTCCAGTTTCAGCCAGCTTTGTCAGAAGAGTGGAAGTCTCAAAAGGAGAAATGTTGTACTTGGCTTAGGACAGCTCATGACCATTAGGTCTTAGGTGTGATTTTTGACTTGTCAGAAAGTAGGAGATAACTTTGGTTCACTTGATCAGACAACAGGTACTAGCCAACCCAGCCAGCTGGCATATGGATTGCTCTTGGGTTTTGCTCATCCCTTTCATGCCAAACAGAAGTTAGTGAGTGATACAGGGGTAGAACTACTGTGGTGGTGGAGTGCAGGGTGTGCAAAGGCCCATAATGTATTGTAGAAATAGAAAAAATGGGTACCAGGAGGCTGCCTGGGATTCAACCTTGAAATGAAAAAGCTGCTTCAACAAAGGTGTCTTCAGTTACATTAATCAGGTTCTACAGGTGATTCTTACTGACCCTCTTACAAAGCACTGGACCTCTTTACATGTTAACAGATTCTGCAAGCAAGAATATCTGTGGCTTAAAGAGTATAAAGCAGTTACTGTCAGAAACACAAAAGATAACCAGTAGCTCATTAAATCTTAGCCTAGCCTAGGTACACTCCCCACCCTGGTAGGATGCCTGAAGGATCCTGGCAGGCTGGGTAGGCACTGGACAGAAGGAGAAAGTCTTTTCTGCACCTTGGAATGGTTCTCATATCCCCAGTATCAATGAATTGTCATCCATGAAGTCCAGTAATACTTATGTCCTGTTGACACTGCTGGCCTGACTTCCAGTCAGGTGATTGCTGCCAAGTTAACTTCTTTTTCTTCCTCTTTTAATATAATATCTTTCCATATAGGTATTTTTCCTCTTGAATCACCTTTCTTTTTACAGACTTTTTAACAGGTCTTTTGCACAGCTTAAGCAATCTTCTGCACAGTCTGAACTGAGGTTACTCAGTCAGGCCTTAGCTGCCCATCCAAGGAGCAGAACTTTGGGGTGAAGGGGAGGCTACAGATAGGCAATATGGAAGCCCAACTTTGTAATTCTATGTGCTTTTGTTGTCAGTTTGTCTCTTGCTTCTCATAGGTTTTGTTTGGAGTATGCCTGTGTCAGCCTAGGCAAAGGTCCCCATGTGGAGTGGAAAAAATAGTTTTCTCTGAGTAGATTCTATAGTAGCCTGTCCTGTCAGCATTGTCATCCAAGCAATGCTGACAGAACAGGCGACTCCACAATATACTGTAGACCAAGAGGCACCAATTCCCACTACTTTTGTTCAGGACAGTTGTTTACTGTCCCAAAACTATGGCTGTTTTAACTGAAGTGTCTCTGCTTTACTGGAGAGACTGCATCTGATCCTATTGAACAACAAAAATATTCTGTTTGAGTAATCCAAACCCTTGGAAAGTACCATTCAGTCAAAGTGAAAGTTGCTGGATTCTAGTAAGATTCCCATTGTGACTAAAGCAAAACATAACTTCATTTAAAAAAAACCAAAAAACTACATTGTCTTTTGGTCTGTTGCAGCTCTTCTACAGTTCAAACCACCAGTGTGTGATATGGCAGATAGATTTCCTAATGACTGCATGTTCTGTAATGGCAAAGATACATGTACCAGACTGTAGTAAATGCATGTTTTGTTTGACTCAGAAATTGCATAGATTTGGGAAGCTCTGAATCATACATGTTATTTTTGGTTTAACCTTTTTGAATGTTGGATTCCCTAATTGGAGGCTAAAACTGGAAGTAATTGCCTGTTGGTAGTTCTTCATAATGTTCAGGGTTTCTTCTTAAAGCTGAGTGTCTATAAAATAGAATTGTTAGCCTTCCATTTCTGTGTCTCCTCCTTAGCTGCTATTTTCAGAAAGTTAAATAAGCGTGGTTGATGGGAAAGGAAAAGAGAAGAGACAAATGGAAGAAATTCCACATTCTGGTGTAAAGGTTATATAAGATCTATAAGAAAATGCCAAGTTCTAGCCCTTCTCTAGGTATTAGTAGCTCTGTAGTTAGGGAGTAAATCACCTTGGGATGAGAGCACACTGCAGTGGAGGAGATGATGCCCGGCCAGTAGTCCAGAATGATGCTAATGGTATGTCAGTCACACCTGATGGGGGCATGGCCCAGGGCAGAGCAGCTGTGTCCCATCTGCAGGAGAGCAGCAGGTGGGGTCTGAGGCAGCAAACAGTTACTGCCATGTCCTACAGCTTCCCCAAGCAGGGAATGCTGGAGCCTCTTTGGCTGCAGTGTTGGGTGCAGTGAGAAATCCTCTGGAGATAGGAAAGTGGAAGAAAGAGAGAGGATGGGACAGAGCAGTGGACACTGAGTAGGTGAGCTATAAAAGCAGGGACAGCTACCAATTAGTGAATGATTTTAATTAAAACTGACCTTAATTTTAAAAACTAAACACAAAGAATCAGAATTTGCTGAGTTAGCAGGAAGGATCCAGCTGGGCACCCTGTAGAAAGCAGAGCTGCAGGCTCAGAGCTGCTTTGCATGTTTAAGCAGAGAGCTGCTAAGCAAGCACTTGACCACTACCACAGCCTCCCCTGAATGTTAACTGTTCTTGCAGCCACCTGGCTCTTCATTGTAACTTTTCTCCCCTGAGCGTTGCACAAGGGAAAAAACTGGGATGTTCCTTTACCTGCCAGGGAAAAGATCTAACCTTGCTTGTAAACAATCATTGTCTTTCTAGCACCATGCTCTAAATACAGAATGTGCACCAAGTTTTCTTAGGAAATTGAGACCAGCTTCTAGGGTTTGTTTCTCAGTGATTTCTTTTGCCTGTGTGAAAGGTAAGGCTGCAGAACATGTCCCATGTGCTCTTAGGTGTGTGCATAGTATGTGTGCAATCTGTCTGCCCAAGAGCTAATTGGCACCTGTGTCAGCAGTAGAACCCAGCCAGAGGAGTTTGAAAACTTCTCTGATAGACACTGACTGGATTTCATGAGTTTAAGTTTTAAGTTTAAAAGTTTTTAAGTTTATGCATTTGTAACTTTAAAGATCTTGGGATGGTATTTTGAGGGTCAGAGGGATCCTGTCTATTAAGTTTGGAGCCATAATGATGAAATGGCTTGCTAAATTTGTCTTAATTAAGAATAGAAAATTGTTTCACTTTGCTTTTGAAAATGGTTCACCTGTGGCTAAATTCAGCCTTTAACCACAAGGATTCCTTAAAATACAGTATTTCCTTGTATACGTAACAGCTATGCAAATTAAATCAAATTTTTATATATTTAAATGTTATCTACTTTTTTTTTTCCTTGATAGAAACAGTACGGCCAAAAACACCGCCTGTTACAATAAAGCCTCAAATAAAATCACAAGAGGTAAAAATACTGTTATTTTATCTGGGACTTAGTATGTGAAGCTGTTCCTTAATAAGTAATTATGCATCTTTTTGAGTAAGTTCTGCTATGAAACCATAATAATATAGTATCTGACAGTCCTAACCTGCTGCTGTTTTGCTGTGATATTAATTTTCAGCATGTAATCTTGAAATTCATTTTCAGTAGCAGAGACAGTAATTAGTCTGAAGAATGTTTTCCTTAGTGTCCTCCACATTATGATGTGATTTTACTGTCAAGAGTGAAATTTCCAAAACATGTGGTGTAGAAGGTTAGCATTGCATTGAGACATGAGCAGTACCTTCATAAACGTATATTTGTGTGCCATGTTCTGTCAAACTCTTCAAGCAATTGTTAGGCTGAAGTATAAGAAATCTAAATGTTGCATTGCAATAGCAACACTGTTCTATTTCACTTTTGCTTGGTACTGCAAAAGCCTTTACCTTAGACACAAAATGACCTTTGTTTATTTCTGGATTGTAAAATTGGTGCCAGAGAACACTCTTGGCAGAAGCAGAGCTGTGCATTCACTTGCCAATAATATGCAGCGGGCAAAGATTTCCAAAGAACAGTCCTCTCTTAATCTTACTTTGATGTTACTGAATTGTGGTAAAATTTTTAATGTTAGGTCCTGTTCTAAACTATTCAGGAGTTTATTATTGTTTCTGAAGATTACAAAGTCAGAATTAAAGTTGTTAAGAGAACACAAAAAGCCTAGAATGTAAACCAAATCATTTTCAGTACAGCTATCTAACGTTTTTGTTTGTACAAACATGCTTGTAAGGAAAAGTAGCCAGTAAAGAAATACAGTTGCGAGAGTAATGCGCTTGGGTTTGCCAATTCTAGTTAAAAGCAGTCACATGAGTGAAACTACGTATTGGTTACTTTTTTTACCCTGTCTGGATAAGTTTGTACTGAAGTGTCTTGTTGCAGGATGAGGAAGAGATTTCCACAAGTCCAGGTGTATCAGAATTTGTGAGTGATGCTTTTGATACCTGTAATCTGAATCAAGAAGATCTAAGAAAAGAAATGGAACAACTAGTGCTAGACAAAAAGAAAGAGACTTCAGAAGTAGAAGGTAAAGCTGCTATTACCTCTGTTTCTTACATAGAGCAATTCTGAGATAGGTTGATTTAAAAGAAAATAAAAGTTCTAATTCAATTTAGAAGAGTAGATATGTGAACATTTTTTCAAAAGTGTATGAATCAAACTTCAATGAGATATTGCAGAAATCAGTTGTAATTTTCACCATGGTCAAAACAGATCTTACACAGAATGTTAACTGTGAGGGGTTTAAATCCAAAGAACCTAAGAGTTTTAGGTCACTCTTTGATGAAAGTGAGTGTGGGGTATTTTTTTCTTTTTATCTCCTCCTTTCTCTTTCATAGGTTCTTCTGCATATGAATTGTTTTCTTTACTTGACATCCTTGTAGGTAAAGGACAGTATTTGAAAGTCAGGCTCTGTTTTCTTCTTTTGGCACCAACTAAAAAGGCAACTTTTGCACCAGACTGTGAGCTTGAAGAGGCCTCTGCCTATAAAGGTTTATAGGCATTTGGAACACTTAAAATTTAACAAATTGTTTGAGAATGATGATAAGAAATTAAGTGGAGCTTATTAATTAAAATAATTCAGAAGAACTACTGTCCGTGTAAAGAGCATAAAAACAGTCTGTGATGATCTAACTCTGGCCAGAGATAATTTACTTTGACAACACTTGTATTTGTAGATGCTTATCACAAAATGTACAGAATTTTCTTAGAATGTGCTTTGGGTTGTCTTGCATCTAGTTCTTTGATGAAAGTGCTTCAATAGATCATTAATGTGTTCAGAGACTTCTCAGCTGGCCTGAGCTGATTTGGACTCTGGAATTGCGTACCTTCCTATCCAGGCTGAAGTACCAGCCAACGTGTAACACATCAAACACTCCTCTCCTCCCCCACACTCTTGCCTATGATAGGCAGAGCTAATTAAAATAGAGATTAACAACACAGGAATGCCTTCTGACTAATTTTTTGCCCTGAAGTATGAAATATGATTACCTTTAACCCTGATTAAGTGAGCTTGCCTAGCTACAAATGTTAGTGAGGAGAGTACCTTTTTTGTTTTAAACTAGCCACAGTATTTGATCTTGGTTTCTTTTTTCCATAAAAGTATAGCCACACTTTTACAAACTTTATTTTTTATGGGAATTTAAAATTGCAAAGGGAGATTCAGTTGAAAGTAGAGTGAAAGACTACAGAAAATTATCTTGCAAAGGGACACTCATAATGACTTAGCTGTGTATTTGCCGTTTATATCTTTATTATAGTATGCATATAGGAATTATATTGCATATTAATTAATTCCTATTTGTGATCAACAGGAAGGTGAAATTTCTGAAGTTACTTTTGTTTCTAAGGAGAATAGCCCATAAAGTTTAGGGTATATAAGAGAGATTCAGTGTCAATACATTTAGTTTTATATAAATAAAAAACGTACAATATTATCTGTTAAATTCTTACACAACATTTGTCTCTTTTAGAAGAAACTGCTGATTGGGAAAAGGAATTACAACAAGAGCTTCAAGAGTATGAGGTGGTGACAGAATCAGAAAAGCGTGATGAAAACTGGGATAAAGAAATAGAAGAAATGCTGCAAGAAGAAAATTAAACATTTTCACAAAATCACTATAACCCAAAGCTCTTTTGGAGGACTGATATGGATTTCTGCTTTCATATTTTGCTTACAAAAATATCTTCAGAAGACATAAAAGAATCTAAAGTCGTTATAATTCCATATGGGAATACAACCAGTATTTCTGTTCTTTATATGAGCAGTTTCTGAACTTCTATATTCTTCAAAAGAAAAAAAAGAGGAGGCAGATACTGCAGGTTATAATTAAAAGTGATAACATTAATACATGAAGCAGTGGTTCAGTTTGAGGCATTTTTAGGTGATCAAGAAGCTCTTCAAAGAGATTTCTAAATCTAAGAATTGCAATTTTTTTTGTCCACAGCCTTCTGTTTGGGATGTAAAAATGGATGTTGTAAGTAACTTAGTCCTTGACAACAATTCTCTCATGCTATTTGCACTCTGATCCATGTATAATCTGTAAATGTGTACTATTTTTCAGGTACTTTTAGTTGGTAGATTTCACATGTATTTAACTTCCTTAATGTATGTAGCCAAAGAATTTACAGAAAACCTTATCGAATAACTTTCAAGGATTTGGTAAAACATACTAATGCAGAATCCAAAAGAAGCTGATTATTTATCAGTCAGGCAGCAAACATAAAAGCATTTAAATTAGTAGAGTTAGTAACTGCTTGAATTAAAGTTGGGTTTGTTAATCATATTGAGATACTGCCTTTCCCCACAGAGAGAAGTCATTTAATGCTTTCTTTCTGCAGAAGGCTGTTATGTTTCCATTTAATTTTACTGTCTGAGCTGAGAGCAAATTAAATACTTCTCCTTAATTTTAAGTGCTGAAACATTTATATGAAAACTTTCACTGGTTTGGACATCTTTATTAAATATTGTAAATATGTATAAAATTGGCTCATTTGTTTGGAGGGAGGGCAGCGAGGAGCAAATATGCTTCAGACACAGATTTTAAAAATACACTTTTTCACAGTGCGTAAGACATAGAATTTAAATTTAAAAATAGTGGTTTTTTTCTCTAAAAGGTTTTTGATTCTTCATAGGCATCTGGATGTTTCCTGTGGTTATACCATTAAGTCAGTACCTTTATATATAGATAAATGAAAATTTTATGTTCAGTTTGTCATCTATTTCATAAACTTCTATAACAAAGCATTCATGGAATTCCAAATACAAAGGAAAATGGGTAAAATTAAGTAGGTCGGAGCCATTAAGCACAATTGAATTATAGGCATGTTACATACAGTAAGCTCTCTTTTAATGACATAATTCTGCAGAAAACTTTTGTAAAGAGACTGAAGAGATTATAGCTGTAATTACTCCGTCAATATTCATCCCGTGGGAAATGAAAAGAGCTAAGTAGTTTCCACTGCTGTTACTGTAAGAAAGGAATATTTTAAATTGTCTCCATTAGCAACTTGGACAGAAAGTTCTCCTCTATTTCTTGTTATGGAAAAGGAATTGTTTTAAACCTGCATACATTTGGCTTCCCAAATTAGTTCATTGCCATACACTTTCTCAACTTCAAACCACTTTAAGCACAATTTGTATTTTTCTAGGGTTTTTCACTTAGTTTACAGATGCGAGGTAAGTCACGGTAAATACGATGTACTTAAGGAGCTTTTGGATCTGGGATTAATTAAAGGTGACAAGAGTTAAATCTGTTATGCTTATAAAAATAAGTCTATTCACAGCTCAGTGGTTACTCCTGACAAATACAACTGCTGTTGATTTAGGATGGAGATATTAGGATCTGTCTACTGTACAGTTTGATGTGACACCTTCTAAAAAGATGGGTAGTTCTATTCTGATAGTGGCCAATATTCCCTGGATGACTGAGAACTTCAAAATCACTGCTCCAAAAGTCTGCTTTCTTAAAAACAAGCTTGATGATTCCTAATGTTTTCAGATGTATGATGGCCTTATGTGCAGGGGGCTTGTACATCAAGCCTTATCTTTCTTTTCATGTAAGCATAACCTATATAGTGGTCATAGCTAATAAATTTCATTTCTCATAAAAGATGGTTCCTTCATATAAAATTCTCATTTTTCCCTTTTTGTGAAAAACAATTATAGATATAAAATAAAAGAAACCAACCCACTGCTTAAATTTGCATCTAAAAAAAGACAATAATGTAGCAAGACTGAATCTGACTTGAGCTCTGATATTTAAAGTCTCGTATCAAAAGTCATATTAATATTTTTAAATCTGGGTATCTGGTTTTAAGCTTGAAAATTGAAGTAAATTCTCCATAATCCTGCAGTTTTCAGGCCTGGCCTATGACTTACATTTAGGTAGATGCTACAAGTGCCTATCAGTTCTTATTGTGCATGGGAAGAGGGAAAGTTTCTGCATACCACTTGCCACAATGGAGGAGCACAGGCAGACCTTTTCGTGTTCGTGTGAATTTTGCATGCCTTTGTACCCAAATGTGTCATATTAGTATATTACATAAGCAACTGTGCTGGTCTTTTCTTAACAACATTCCAAGCACTGGGATGGTACAGATGCTAAAATCCAGCAAAACAGTGCTACAAAATCAGTGAAAAAATGAAACCAAAAATGAATGTAAATAACATCATCCTGTGGATACAGTGTGACAGAAAGTACAGTTGTTCAAAACATTGAGAAGAAGCTTTCTTGGAAGATAAACTTGCAGATTTTTTTAATTAACTTTTGGGAAACAGGGCAAAGATCACCCAGGAATCATGTAGGTTAGCTAAGGATAGCTCTGAGATACCAGCATCTCCACTTATTCTGTGCACTGAAGAATCATCTTCAGCTATTTGTTTATAATTCCAGTTGATATTAGTTAATACCTGTATGGAATTTTAAAAATTTAACAGTCTGTCCTGGAGGAAGAGGAAAGATTGTAAAATCTGGAAATAAGAAAAGTGTAGTGAAAAGTTCGCCTACGTTTTCATGCGATCACTTACAGATGATCTGTTATCAAAGTTAATCAAAGCTTTCAGTTTGCTGTATTGTTCTGGTAAACTTCTAATTTTTTTTTTTTTTTAGTTTTTTGCCTCAGTATTTTTTTCCTTGCTGTTTGGTGATATTGGTGATCGGTAGGGTGATGTATGTAGTACTGAAGTGCAGGATGTCAATTTTAACCTTGTGCATTTAAATAACCCTATGTGCAGAAGTGTGTTGCTGGACTATGAGATGTATCCTTGAACTGTTGGCCACTCACATATTATTGACTTTTACCTTGCAATATCTATTGCATAGAAAGGAGCAAAGTGTGTCTGGTTACTTCTCTGTGCAGTGCCAAGCAGTAGCAGCCACATCAGGCCCTTCGTCCCAGGGCTGTGTCAAGAATGTGGTTGTACTGTTGATGCTTTTTTCTCTGGTCCTAAAAATATGAGCCAGACACAGTTAGGGTGATAAAACGGGGTACCTTTATAGAAGGATCCTCAGGTGCACAGCTGGTTCGGTGGAAAACACTGAAGATGCATGCCCTGTGTGACAGGTGTATAATTTTTACAGATTTTGTAAATTGGAGTATCTGACAAGAGCCCTGCAATTAGCAACTGACCTGGTGAAGTAATCCCCCCAGTTCTAGTACCTTCTAAATTCTCCCCACCTTCAGTGGGGACCAGGCCCTGTTTACAAAAATATGTCTCAAAAAGCTGGTTTCAACCTTGGTTTCTAAGGACAACCAAGGTAGCATAGGGATCCTGGAATTTGTTTTGTCTTCCTGCCTAGGAAAATGCTGAAGCTAAGCTACAATAAGGAGCTACAAACATATGTGTAAAGAATACAGACAATATATAAAAGAAAAACAGGTCAAAGCCATTTACCACCCTGATAATGGTCTGGATTTCAATTCAGCAGAAGTCTACAGGATGTATTCTCTGGCCTGATGCTCTTATGTCTCAGCATGTGCTGAGTGATAGATCTGTAACAGCAGTACGGTAGCCTAGCCTTAAATAACATTACCCATTAGTAGATTTTCCTTCCAAAATACTAATTTTCAATGCTTTTCTCCTTTTATTTTAAACATTTGGATTGTTTGTGTGTGTTAGATAATAATTCTAATTTTCTAACAAAATGGCAAGTCAATTAAGTTCTTGCTATGTTTTCTGTATATATTACAGTTAACTATTGGAGAAAACAACAATTTCTACAAAAATATCAGAACACATGCATGGCTCTGTTTTATTCTCAGTATAGCCCAGCATTTCCTATAGATAGGTAGATAAAGACCATGCATACATATAAATGCAAACCTACATATATCATAGTGTCTAAATATATTAAAGAAATTATAATGTACTTTTCAGCTGTTACTTTGAACTACATACCAGTGAGAGACAAAGGACAACCAAAGTAATTAGCATTAGTTTGTCACACTATCATTTGTAATGAGATTACTCCTTGTAGAAATTGAGGAAGAAATCACTTGCTTCATTTCCTAAAAGACTGGTTTTCATTATGGACAGGTTGGGGACATTTTCTTTTGCTAATTCAAGAATTCATGAATCTATGACAAACCTCTCCAGATAAACTAGGGAGATAAAATTAACCCAAAACTATATAGGCAGATAGGTTATTTTGTCTCGGTGTGATTCTGGCAAAGTAGGGAAAGACAAGAAAAATGCCTCTAGTTAAGGGCTGTATATAAAATTAGAAGAATAAATATTTGATGCCCTCTTTGATATATGATGCTCTAAAGAAAACCATGCTTATTTTTTTTACTTGTCTGCCTGCATAAAACCTTAATTCTGCAGTTGTTTTTATTTATTTATTCTAGTGGCTATGGTTTCCATACACAAATGTGAGGCTTTAAGAGCCAGGTAAAACTGCTTTTCTGCATTTCCTCTGCATCCCAATTAAACCTGTTTACCTCATAGTCAAATAATGACCAGAGAATGGGTTGATACACCCAGCTTCTTGTCCCACTTACTTCAGAAATGTTTTAATGCTGGCCTTGTGCCCTTTGATGCCAGCAATTTAAACATCAAACAGTTTTGGTTGTGCTGTATCATCACCACCTTTCATCCTGTATCATGTGTAACAAGATTTTCAAGCCCATCGTGTGTTGGGTGGATGAAAGGTCCTGCTGTAAGGATGTTATTGGGGTGGAGAGGATATTCCACTGATATTTGCTGTGGATGTGGAAACAGCGATCTCTTGGTGGGATGTAGTGCCAAAAAATTAGTGGACAAGTTCATGAAAGAGCAGAAACCGTTGCCTAAGCAGGCAAAAATACTGGTGCAAAGGATCTTTCAGGTGGAAGAATGTTGTTATCCAACCCACTTTGGGTTTCTCTGGCTGTGGACGTACTTACCAGTCAGCTGACGTGTCTGAGCACATGTTGAAAACAGAATGGTTATAAGCAATTACAAAGACCACTAATCATGTTTGCCCTGAGTCAGCTAGCAAACTCTCCATCCCAGCCACTGCACTGTTCCCACTGGAGCTCGCAAGCAACCCAACTTTGGAGGCCAGGTGCCAGGGGCTACAGTAGGGAGTGGTCTGCCTCCCCTATGGGGAAGCAAGAAAGAAAGAAGAAAATCACCTGCATATTTAAGTCACAACTGTAAGAGTAGCTTCTGGCTTGGGTGTGAGCCCTCAGTCCTGGCTGCTGTAAGCCAGGAGAGGCACAGTTTTAGAGTGAGCAGTGCCAGGCGCTCCCGAGCCCCACACCAACCACCTGCCTCCTCACTGGGGCCACAGCTCCCCTTCCTACCCTGATAGCTGACATCCCAATTCTATTGCAAAGTATGTTTGCATAAACATGCAACTGGCTGTTGTTCTAATTCATAAAAAAACACAGCTCCTTTTTAGAACTAATTCATTACTTTCCTGGTATTGTAAGTTTATTGATGTGTGAAGGGGAAAAATCTTTTTATTGGTTTTGAATTTACCTGAGAAATGTATGACATAGCAAAACAGAAGGACTTGACTTTGCCTTCTTTGTATGTCCCACAAGTTAACTTTCTTGAATCAAGCAAGAAGTTTCAAACTTCACTCTTCAAATTTTAATGGGGGCAGTTTTCCATATACCAAATAGTGTGTAGCAGCTTTCTTCAAAACTCACCTTTGGAGGTAATTTTCTGGAAGCGAGGTGTCACATGCAACAAGCACATAAAAGAAAGCACCACCCAGCTGACACCTCCTGGTTTCGTTTTCTGTATTTCTCCTCATCTCATTCCACATGTACCCCAACATCTTGTTTTTTTTCTGTAGCTATATAGTACGTTCAGCCAGTACATGTTTGTAGCATTGTCCACAATGGACTCCAGGCAACTCCCCTTGCCACCACTGAATTTTAAGGTCCTGTAAAGTCTGGTGATTTGGGTTGAGTTTTTGATTTGTTTGTATTTTTCTATTTCCCTCCTGCCTTCATTTTAATTTTTGATTAGTTATTCTCTGAAAAGTAACATTGGAAGAATTACTGCTCCTACTCAGTGTCATAGAGTGAAAAGTTCCAAGAAAAATTCTGATAGTCCTTACCTTCTCCAAAGTTCCAATAGAAGCAATTATCATAATCGTCATGAGGAAAGGACAAAATTAAATAGTTTCCTGACTGCATTGCCTGTTGTAACAATACTGTGACAAAAGAAATAATATCTTTATTTCACAGTTTCTCAGTGGTGTTTGGTTAAAGATTTGAACATCTTGTTCTAGTTGTCACCTTGCTGATGTATTTAAACATAATGGAAAAACTAATTTTCACCCAGTTGCCTGGGAGTGTCTCTGCAATGAGGGCAGTGAAGTACCTAAGAGATGTGTCAGCCTGGCTGGTAAGTGTAGAAGGTTCATGAAGTCAGACTGCCCTTAAGCAGGCATATAACCTATATATAGGTTATATATGATAACCACATAACTTGGCTGTAGTTCATAAAAACAGAGTACTCCAAAAATCTGTAAAAAGTTGACGACTAAAGATTGCTACCAATGGATATTTAGTTATATCCTAAATAATAATTTAAAAGAACTAATTTTCCTAGGATTTCACTTCTTGCCTGTCAAAACTTGAGACCAGTACACCTTCTTGGCAGCAGCCAGTT